AAACCATGAATGTTCATTTCTAAAAATTTTGACTGATAACCATTGTGTGTTCTCAATGTATATGCTTATAGTGACTTCATGTATTAACTCTTTCACATTTGTATAAGTTTGTTCTTAAGTGTATAAACATGTGGCTCGTTTTGTGTATTGTATTTAAGCTTGCTAATTTCATAAATTGTTACTGTTGTTGCGTGTCTCGTGTTATGATAACATTCTCATCTTGGATTGAGTAGTGACATGTTCTTATCGTTATGCTAGGCACATGCGTGTGCGACATCGGGAGTTCCTTTATGATATGTTTGATATGCGTGATGCAATTGTAGCAAATTGATAAGTTTGCTCATGCATTGCTTTATTCATTTAAGTCTACTTTATGTTACTTGATTTGTAATGTTGGTTATTTATCAATTTTGCTTCATTGCATATATATGGGCATATTTGATTGTTGCTCTTCTATGCAAAAACGCCTCTGAGTGATACATTACCATTTGTATTGGAATATGATATTTCTCACAATTCGATTTTCTTCTTTTTGATTTTTTTCAAAAGGGGAGAAGAATATGCGAGATGAAAAAGAAAAGCATAAAGTCAGGAGCATTTGATATCAACATGAAATGCCTTGTCGCCAGTTTTGCCATCATAAAAAAGGGGGAGCATGTGAGTGCAACTTCTCTGTTAGATGTTTTGCATGATGTCAAAACTATAATAAAACTTATTATTTCTATATGTCGGACGGTATCTCTGAGTTTGTATGGCACCCTTGCATTAGAGGTCTTAGGAATCATCCAAAGCCACTTCAAAATTGTCCACAATCATGAAATATTGTTTTCTGTAAAAAAAAATGTACTACATGTGTCAGCACATACGCTTTTCAGGCCGACACATGTAACTCAATAATGAAGCATGTAGCCTCTGTCAAAGTCAGGTCGGCACATAAGCCTTTCAGGCCGGAACATACTGTAACATCAGTTATATGTGCCGAAAAATACGTGTTTCAAGCCGACACATCTACTGTCCTAAATAAAGTCGTACTCTCTGTTTGATTTGGGTCGGCACATAGGTCCTTTCAGGTCGAAACATGTTATCTTTGACATTATGTGCCGAAACATCCAACCTTCAGGCTGACAAATACTGTTTAAGTTGGTCAATTTTTTAATTCCTTTAATTCCAAAAATTACCTCTTTGCCACCAATCTTCCAAAACTATAAATACATTATTCATGCTTTATTCCAAACTGGTGATACCATAAAATTAACCTGCATTTGCTCATCATCTTCAACCGCAGCCCTATGTTTACACATTGACAAATCACACATAATAATCTTTTGTTGGGGTGCCAGCTAGGCGAAGGTCTGATAATGTCTGATTAGGTTCTTGTTTAGCCGATAATATTGGGTTGAGATTTGTAGGGGTCTTCATCCGGAAAAACCGCGAGTTTGTCCTCTAAGACCGTGTGTAGATTTTGGGGTTTTCGTGCAAGACGTTCAAGAGAGGATTTCGACATTATGAAAGCTTTTGGAGATAAAGTACACAAAGGATCCTTTGGAGATAAAGAATGCAAAGGAAGTAACGGAGAACGGTAAATCGAATTGAAGTCTTGCAGATTAATCGGTGCAATTGATCGTGCGTGAAAGCTTGAAGATAAAGAATGCAAAGGAATAGCAATATCAATAAGCCAATTGGTATTCGTTGTTATCTTGGTCTTTTTCAAGATCAAAAGAAGAGAAAGGGTTGAATCAACATCAAAACCAGTGTTGTTTGTATGGTTGCTATTGAACACTTCTCTTGTACATCGAGTTTTGGCATAGTAAGAAAGTATCCTAATTCCACATTAGAAATTAGGCACAGACGTACCCACACACAAGGACAAAATTGGGGAACTGCGTGAACAAATCCTCGTTTCGATCTCTCTATTATCTTTTTACTCGCTTTATTTTTTAATTAAGCAATTTATCAAATAGCATTGATTAATCAATCAACTCGTAAGAATTTTCTTTCGATCTTTTTGTTTTAATTTTAATTGTTTATTAACTTATAATCACTTTTGATTATAAGTGGTTTTCATATCAACAACAACATAAAGAAAATTCTGAAACTTCGTTCGCACACCAAGTGTTTGATAAATTGCATATTTTAATATTTATGCTCATTACCATTGGAAATAGAATTACTAGGTCAATTGGTTTAAACGAGTAATAACATGATACTCGATTAAAGGTTAAATTCGATTATTGTGTTTGTCATTTCATAATTGGCTTTGCATATATGAGTTCCGATAACTAGGTTCGTATAGACGACTTTTCTCGATCCATACCTAAACCTTTCGCACACACTCTTTTTCAAATAACTTTAAAACTCAATTTTATTTGGTGATTTTGGCTTGGGTGTCTATTCACTCCCCCTTCTAGACAAGTCATCGTTATCTAACACTTTGAGCAAATCATTTTCATATCATTTACTAAAAGTATCTTGAGCACAAAAAGTGTGCATTATATTTTGAAGGAGAAGGAGTATTCATTCTGTCATGATTTTTCAGAATTATTTGTACTCAATTTTATTCCAAAATTCACTTGTAACTCATATCAAATTGCTACGACTTGACTCCAGGATTGTTAGATCAAGGTTGTTAAAGAGAAAATAAGTTTTCTTTCTCTGGATTTGTAAAGTCACAAGGCGGGGTGCCTTAGTAATTGATGCTAGAAAGGTTAAGAGAATTGTTGTGATTCGTAAAATTTCTCACGGGGTGTGAAGGGATTGGAGTACACTTGGTTAGAAAGGGGAACCAGGATAAATCATTGTATTTTTTACATTTCAACATTTATTTTTCTGCACTTTACTTTTCAAAGTTCATCAAAAGTTCAAGAAAAATAAGGACACGCGAACTGTTATCTAACAGCGAGAAAATTCTATCAAACCTAATTCACCCCCTCCCTCCACCCCACATCTTAGGTTGGACACTCAAAACATATAAAAGAACCTAGGATGTCCCTACCCTATTGATAAAATGGTCTGAGGGGGATACATAATGAAGAACTTTAGTCGGAGTGAGATGTTGATTTGAGTGGTTATGACATATATCAGACTTGTTGAAATACTCAATATTGTCTTTCATCACCACTATCTTTCCCTTCAATTTATTTTGAAAAACAAAGTTACTTTGTGGAAACTTTATTGGTGAAAATTGTTTCGAAAAGGATTTATGTAATTCAAAGTTTTAAATGTAACAAATCAAACTCCAACATGCTAGAGGTAATGATAAATAAATATGTGATTAATATTCTATAATTCAAATAAGTAATTCGAAATATATTGGATTAATCATATATTACATTTAGAAGTATAACTCAACTATTTAATCAACAAAAATATCACTTAGAAAAATTAATCTAATCAGACCTAACTCTTACAAAATTGAGAGAGAGAGAGAGAGACTATTATTTATATTTGTTCGGTGATTCGTTCTTGCATTCACCTAATCAAGTCTATGATGATAAACCATCAATAATTGTTCTTCCACTAGTTTGGTGCAAAGTTTAGTTAAAACGAATTTTTAAAAAAAAATCAGATAAATTGTTCAATCTTAACTAATTTATATTCTTTCTTGATTAATCATTGTCAACAACACAACTAACCACAACTACAATTTTGATCACAATCTTAATCTTGGTTGCATAATACTCGACCTTTAAGAATCTTCAATCTTCCCAATTGCAACAATTTTCACTTTTATCTTTTTTGTAAGACTTGAACATGTTCTTAAAAGGTTGATAGAAGCAAGAAAATCCACATAAGACTATTTTTTTTTAATGGAACTTCAATTCATGAATTCCACAAAGTAACCCAAAAGCTAGAAACAATAAACTTCATAGACATTAACAATCTATGTGGTTTTCTCACCAAAAAAAATCATCACACTGACAAAGTTGATTGATGTTCATACATAAGAAGAAGGTTTTGTTTTGAGAGAGATGATGTTTTTTTTACCCATTCACTCTAATGATTTGATCTTTGTTATGAAATAAAATGAATAAAAGCATTTTATAGGTGTTTGAAATTAGCACAAAATCAATACAAATTTGCTTAAATGATTCAAAATAAGGATGTCAAATAAATCTACTCGAATGATAAAAATTACTTGAAAATTTCATACATTTATTTGACTCATGAATCTATTTATATGAATAGATTCACAAAAAACTTTGAATCGGAGCACATATCTCGATTTGAGACATTTCACATGCAGTCTTGAATTGATTCATAACATAGCATGAATCACGTCAAAAATCCAATAACCACAAGAAAATTGGCAAAAATGCAATTGAATCATTTCACATGGAGTCTTGAATTGATTCAGACGACCAAAACAATTTGATTCGATTCCAAACTCAACTATACAATAAATTTAACTAAAACATGACATTAAAATAGAAATTAACCGATATTACGCTTATGCAATTTCAACGCTACCATTATCAAGTTGTAGATGAAAAAAAGTATATTTATTTGGATATTTCTTATGAAATAAAAATATGAAACTTTTAATCTTGTTAAAATTTTGTGCAATTTGTTTATTATGAAATAATGGTAATGAGTTTATTATGCAAGATATTTTCAAAGTTAATGACATCATTCATCATACCTCTTGTTAGAAATCCAACAATACAATGACATAGTTGAGAGTAAAAGCTAAACTAGAAAATCAAAAACTCCAACAATTAAGCTCCAAAAAACCATACCAACCAAACACTTAAATTAATATTGTAATCATGATTGCAATCACTGGCAAAAACCTCAAAAATCATAATATTGTAATTACAGTTACTAACTGTAATTTATATCTATGATCTTGTGATTGCTACATCAACTACATTATGAGAACCACACTGCAACAACCACAGCATAAACATGATCTTAAACTTAACATTAATACAATAATTTAATTTTGAAATCTTGCAATTACTCCTAATTATATATTATTATGTTAATAATATATAATAAACTCACTGCATTCTTCTCTCATACCAACATATACAACTCAAACCAACCAACACTTCCACTATGGCAGCCTCTGCCTTCTCCAAGTCAGAGTAATGCAATGTCTGCAGAAGCATCGCGGTCGGCTTCGTCTCGAATTTCGTTTTCTCCAAGTATCTCTCTGCCCGCCACCGAAGCGTGTCGTATGCAACCGGAGACAGCCATTCCATCATCTCCTCCAACGCCTCACGCCACCCCTCGGCCAGCGAGTGTCCGAGACTTTCTTTTTCTCCCTCTTTCGCCAACCGTCCCTTCAGTTTCGCCCTCACTTTCACCCTCAGTCTCCCTGGTAACATATCGTACAACGCCTCACGCGCGTCGTCCCCAATCGTCACTGGCGCGTGGAGATAACGCTCCGCCAGAAGGATCACATTGGCATACCGCAAAGAAAGCCCTACTCCACCAACCGTCGACGACGGTGCAAGTTTCAAAACCTTGTCATTTCTTGAACCTTTCATTGTTTTTTCAATTCCGTCGCCACCACTACAAGCAAAATCCATTGGCATAGGGCTGTTAAGAAACCTTATCACACCAAGGATATTAAGAGAGGTTGCTTCTTTGGGGATAGGCCCCGACCTACTCATGCGCCTCTGGAGCGATTCCTCGTACCATTCTGAAACACCGCGAGTCTTGCGGTGTTCCAGAAGGCAACAATCGTCGAAACCAAAACCAGATGACACGAAATTTTTCTTGCCATGGTGATCTTTATAAATATACGCTCCGAAAACGGAGCATATTCTTGCATACACAATGCACACAAGCCTTGCCATGAGCCCAACTGTTTTGTCAAATGTTTGTTTCCATAATGATGTTTCCTTGAAATTCTGCACTTGCTTTCTTTGAGACACTAATTTCTCATTGAAATATTCCATGTTTGGCTTTTGACCTTGTTTTATCCCATTCTGCTGTCGTTTCTTCTCCGCCGTCTCTAACTCTACCATGTATTCCATGGCAGAGTGGAGACTGGCAGAAGCGGAGATTAATTTCTCTGTTTTTTCAATAATCTTATACGTGTTCCGGGAGTTGTACTGCAGCTTCCGGAGGTCAATCACACCATGTTTGAGATCAGCATAAACAAGATCAAACCGTGCTAGGCCGAGGTCCGAGCACTTCTGGCCTAAACGGGAGACTGTCACAGCGGTGTTATCGAGCTCCTCGAGACGTTCCGCAGCGGCAAGGGTGAGGAGAAAATTCTCCTGGCTAGAATTCAAATACGTTACACCCTTAGATTTGATGACATCGTTATGAAGCTTGTTGATTTCTTCATCGGATAGGGAGTTGAAGAGAGAGATGAGACGACACATGGTTTTCGCGGCGTCGAAAGCAAGGATGCCGAGCGTTTCAACCTCCGGCATCGACTTGGGACGCCGTGACATGGTAGCCACGACCATCACCATCACCTCCCTAACCGTAACTTTGCTAATTTTGTTATTGCTCTTAATTTGAGAGTATTGTTAAATTTTGCTTTTACGAAACTAGATTTTTTTTACTATTTTTCTTTTGGTTGCAAATTGTAATGTGTGTGAGTTTGTTTTGAAGGATGAGAAAAACATGATAGATAATGTTTTGGATTAATTGAAGGTGTATTTATAGGTTAACGGAAGAGTAGTAGTTTATAATAATTGATTATAATTAGTGATTTTGAACATTCCTTAATAAGACGCGTTTAGACAGTTGGGTTAATTGGGTAATTAACACACCGATTATGCTTAATAATTGATTATTCTATTTTTTGACACAACATTAACTCATTAATTAAAAGTCATTGAGCATATGACTATTTTCCATTGTTCTCACTACCACCCTATGGAACTTATAAAAAGTTGAAAACAACTTAAAATTAATATCATAAACAATTTTTTATAAATTATTTTATAGAATCTCACAAAACTTATATACTTTTTATAAATGACTATTGTTTAATGATAAGATTACGTACATATTGTACATGACGAATTTTTTTCCAGACAAACCAGATAATCAAGTATACGCGTAAGTGGATTGATATGTGTTAACGTTATAGTTACGTAACATGTAAGAAAGAAAATATTATTAAGAAAACAAGTTGGTCATAAATAAAAACATATTTTAACTAAAGATTGAAATTGGAATGGTTTTATTATAGAAAAACAAATTGTTAGGAATATATTAGTGGCTTATGGCTGCTACATGGTACCACAAGTGATTGTTGCATTACTAAATGTGAGTGAGTGTTTATATATATATATATATATATATATATATATATATATATATATATATATATATATATATATATATATATATATATATATATATATATATATATATATATATATATATATATATATATATATATATATATATATATATATATATATATATATATATATATATATATATATATATATATATATATATATATATAATTGATCATAAACTTTAAAAAAAAAAGAAAAAAAACATTTCTTATTGAATATCATGCATTTTTTTCCACCGTATGGATTTCTACATATGCCACCAAATTTTAGAGATATATTTCCGAACGCACCCCACTTCTGAGTAAACGTTAACATATTTTAGAAATATATCTCTAGAACTATTTAAACTTTAAACGCTCACATCATATCTTCCATAACCCATTTTCATTTGAATTTATTCGGAGATGTATCTACGAGAATTTTTCAGAGATATATCTCTAAATTGTATCAGAACATATTTTTTTTTTATAATGAGTTGTGTATTTGTTTTCAGATGAATTATGAAGAATAATATCGAATAAAATAACAGACATACAAAATAATATAGTCATATAATAGTAAAATATCGTACAACATCAAATAAAAAATGTAGTAACAATGACAGGAAAAAAGTACAAACTATAGTAAAACATCAAAATAATAACAGACCCATACTGGGTATGTCTAAGTTCTAACAACCTCTCCTCCACCTCCTGTGCCTCCTCTGTCTGGTCTTCCTGGTCTCCCTGGTCTGCCTCCTCGGTCATCAATCCCCCCGTCCTCGCGCGATGTCTGCGCTACAATAGTGCCCTTTGTGCCTTCGCAATAATATCATCCAGTCAATGTTTGCCCGCACAATCTCTACTATGCGACGACACCGGGGCAAGACATCCTCAATATGATCTAGTTGAGCCTATTACTCCTCTAGAATCTCCTGATGAGCGGGTCTCTCCGGATCTCCTCGAGCAATCAAAACCATGTATGAATGTGAGACCCAGAAGAATCACCTGATGTATCTGTCGACGTAGCTCCAATCATTCGGCGCTATGGTAGCTCGAGCCTCATCCGGTACCAAATGATTCTGGTCATCAACAAACATCTTGTCAATTTGTATATGAGTCAAGGCATGAGAAGTAGAGACAACATGGGGTTTAGGGATGGTCTGGGTGTACTCAAACTACCTGGCCTTCCGGCTGATGCAATGCTAAAATCTTCCTCTCATAGTTCAAAAACTCTTGGGGATCACGCTCCTGCAAATTTCGAGAAATAATCAATGTCAGTAATGATCAAACACTACTACGGAAAACATATACAACAACGGTTGGAAAATATATAGTATCACACAGGATCGACAGTTGTTACGTAGAGTGTGGTTGTATATGTGTTACTTACAATCACGATCCTATGACCGTTGTAGAAAACTTGAAAGCGCGCAACATATTACCACAATTGCTTTATCTAACCGTTGTAATATATTAAAGGTCACAGGTTTGATTCTCAGCAGCGCATTTTTGGTGTATATATATATATATATATATATATATATATATATATATATATATATATATATATATATATATATATATATATATATATATATATATATATATATATATATAATTCTGGACAACGTTCACTATACAATCACTATCATATATAACAACCGTCGTTAAATTATATGTTTTTAAAATATATATATATTTCTATATTTTGAAATTTTTCCATTTTTTAACTTGTATTTTTTTTTGACAGAACAGAAAAATGTTATAACCTGTATTTTTTAACCTGTATCATAACAGAAACAACAATTGAACTTAAACTCAAATACTTATTTATTTCATCAAATCAAAAAATATTGTTTACAACACTCAAAGTCAAATGTACATCAAACATGTGTGTGTGCGTCTGTGTGTGTGTATTACAAATTAATCTCATGTTTGAGGACCCTTAAGTGCATTGAAGATATTCGCCCAATGTTTACGAATATCAACAAAGTCTTTGCATGGGAATGGTGTATCGTCGTTAAACGTCTATATAAAAAAGTGCAAAATCGTGAATATCACACATATATGATAATCATAGCCAACTTAAACAATAATATGTTATTGTAAACAATTCATTACATATATAATATATACCTGATCCCATTTATGAACAATGTCGGTGAAGACAATGTTTAACATGTGTTTCATTTCATAATATCCACACTCGTATCCCTCTGGTTGTTTCCTCGTCTACAAAAATAAACATTAATTTCATGAATGTTATAACCACTACACATGAATGTAACAATATATATAAATGAATGTCACAAATAATATAGTCACTTACATGAGGCAAGAGAAATGTTGGCTTTTTTCTACTATTGTTCAATAAATTGTGTCGATGCACAACACTGTACATTGAAAATTATTTAAACATATTACGCGTTAAACCAATTACAAAGTCAAATAAATAATACTAAAATTTTTCATATAAACATAAACTTACCCATTAGTAATTTGCTTCATTTTAGATTCAAGTGGATTATGTAAGGAACATAGTGTTGTTAAAATATTCGTCCTAAGCGATATGATGATCAATTGTCAATGATCACTAAATAAACACGAGCATATATATAATTAGTATTTTCTAAAACAAAACTAACTATAATAGATAAACCACAATTCAAAATTACTTACGATTTGAGAAATAGTGCTAAGTAAATTTCTTTTTCCCCTTGACTTAACCGTTCTGAAACGTAAGAGTCAATCCCTTTTGGATCATTATTTGTCCATCGAATACTAAACGGGTCCGAGATGCCATAAATATTTGATTTATTTAACTCTATACAAACACGGTGAATATACCTAAATGGTTAAACAAAATTCATAAAATAAGTGAAGAAATACAAAAACGATAAGGTACTATGTATAATGACATGCATATTCAATTATATACTTACATGCACCAAACTTGTAATATCCCTACGTCCATCCATTTATATCCTGATAGAAAATCACGTATGTCACTAGGAGGAGAATAAAAGATTTCTACCGTTGGACAATGCTCTAGCTAAAGAGAAATTGGGTCATCGTTTTCCGCAATCAACAAGTATAACATGGTGATTTATTTATGGAAGGATCCAATATCTTATTGACCTCTTGAGCAAGGGCGGTTGAACAATTACTTCCTTTGGTGATAGCACCACATATAACATTTGTTTGGGGAACTTGATCATCAACATTATCATCATTTTTATCTGGACGTTGTTGGAAGGATCCACTTATTCTATGCAACATAATATTCATTTTGAACACAATACATAATAAACACATTTCTATCTTTTCTAACTTTTCAGATAAAACGCAATATATCATACATTTTAGATAAAATAGTAGCATTTAAGATAAAACACATACCGCATATAACTCTTCTAACTTTTCTATGTCTTTCTTCCAACTTTCCCGCTCAACTTCTAACATCTTCCACTGTTCTTCTAACTCCTTCTCACAACCGCAAACTTTTCTTTCTGCACTTGTAACTCAGTGTTTTCAGCATTTTTTTTGTTGGACCAAAGTATAATCTCAGACCGACGCCTTCTCCAACACCACGAACGTGCCCACCATGCTTACCCTGATTGCTTCTACTAGTATATCATGTCGTGGTTCTGGAACAAATGAGCCTCCACAGGCCTCCTCTACCCACGAATCCTACACAACATATATGCATGATAATATTAATATTGTAATTACCATAACATTTAAATAACACATAACATACGCACAACATATCATACTTACAATTTCCTTAACAACTGCTCTTGACGCATCTGAGGTGTACTCTCCATTTGGTCTTAGTCGAGCCCTCTTCCACTTCTCATTCCTTGAAGGTGGATATGGATTGCGATCACAACTAATGGAGTCCTCACTTCCCTTTTTTTTTCATCCTTAATTTTTTTCTCCAGTTTCCTGTATCCCTCCACGAGACAATCTATGGAGGTAAATATGTTTCGTTTTATTTTATATTCTAGCTTGACTTTTAGTCTGTTATAAACATAGTGAAAATATGATTAGTATCTATAAATCATTAGCATAAAATTGTCAAGATAAATAAGACTAGTACTAACTAGGAATGTCTCAGAACGACGACCCTTTACAAACTTTTTTCAAACCTTCTTAAAGAGAAAACTATATCTC